AGGGCGGCGGTGGACGTGGGGTGACCGCTGACGTAAATCCCGACCAGGACGATCCCGGCCACGGCCACCGCGGCCACGGCGATCCCAACGATGGCTCCCGCGGGAATTGGGGCGCCGGTGCTGCGGGAAGGGAGGCTGCTCCCTGGAAAAAYGGGATCCAGCTCAGCCATGGAGAATGGAAGTGTCTATTCCCAAAAAAAATCCCCATTCTGGGAGTGATTTGGCTCAAATTTGGGAATTTGGGATTGGGAAAGACGTTGGGGCAGCAGTTTAGGAAAGATGGAAAAGCTGGGATTGAGCCAGGATTCCCRGAAATGAGGAGGGAAAGGGCGGATTGGGGTGAAGGATGTTTTAAATTCAGATTTTACACTGATTTTTATGAAATCTGAAGGAAAACAAAGCTTTGAGTCTTGTGAAAATAACGCGAATAAAGGGAATTACGTGGAAGGAAAAAATTCCTTGGAAATGAGTGGGAAAAGCAGACAAAAGGCATCGGGGAAAAACCAGAACATTCCCAATTCTGGGCTGGCTCCAATCAGGGTGAGAACAACGGGAATTTCATCTTTGGGGGCTTCCTGTGCCCCCAAATCCAGGGAAATCTGGGCAGGATGAAGGCCTTACCCTCTCCTCCCTCAAACTGGCTGAGCTTCGTGTCATCTGGGAAGAGAAAATGAGGCAAAAAACACAAAGTTAGGGACTTTACAGGATATCCTTGTGTTCCCCACCCCATTGCACCCTCTGGGGTGGGATCTCTGGATGAGTTTTAGGTTTCTGGAAGAGGGAGGGACCTGGAAAACCTCAGGGACAGCGGGAGAGATGGGGATGGGGGTTTTCTTCGCCGAGGCAGCGCCTGGAGTGCAAATTTCTGAGGGAAGGGGTCGATCACCTGCTCCTGGCGCCGGGGATCGGGGATTGGGGGTCATCTGTGCAGGGGTTGGGGATAGGGAGGGTCATCTGTCCAGGTATTGGGATCAGGGATTGGGGGTCACGTGTCCAGGGATCAGGAATTGGGGGTCATCTGTCCAGGGATTGGGATCAGGAACTGGGGCGGGTTCACCTGTCCAGGGATCAGGGATTGGGGATTGGGGGTCACCTGTGCAGGGATTGGGATTGGGGGGGTCGTCTGTCCGGGGATCAGGGTTTGGGGGTCACCTGTGCAGGGATTGGGATCAGAAAATTGGGGGTCACCTGTGCAGGGATCAGGATCAGGGATTTGGGGGGGTCACCTATCCAGGGATCAGGAAACTGGGGGTCATCTGTGCAGGGATCCAGGAACTGGGGGGAGTTACCTGTCCAGGTATTGGGATCAGGGAATTGGGGGCCACCTGTCCAGGGATCAGGGATTTGGGGAGGTCACTTATCCAGGGATCAGGATCAGGAACTGTGCAGGGATTGGGATCAGGGACGGGGGGGGTCACCTGTCCAGGGATCAGGGCAGGAACTGGGGGGTCACTTGTCTGAGGGTTGGGATCAGGTATTGGGGGGTCACCTGTCCAGGTATTGGGAACAGGGAGAGGGGGTCAACTGGCCAGGGATTAGGATCAGGGACAGAGATCAACTGTCCAGGGATCAGGGATTTGGGGGGTCACTTATCCAGGGATCAGGATCAGGGATGGATGGGATCACCTGTCCAGGGATCAGGAATTGGGAAGGATCACCTGTCCAGGGATCGGGATCACGGATTGGGAGGGATTACCCATGCAGGGATCAGGATCAGGGAATTGGGATGTCACTTGTCCAGGGATCGGGATCAGGGACAGGGGTTCAACTGTCCAGGCATTGGGATCAGGGAATTGGGGGTCACCTGTCCAGGGATCAGCACCAGGGATGGGTGGGGTCACCTGTCCAGGGATCAGGAATTGGGGGTTCCCCCATCCAGAGATCAGGATCAGGGAATTGGGGGTCACCTGTCCAGGGATTGGGATCAGGGATTTGGGGTCACCTGGCCCAGGGATCGGGATCAGGGATTTGGGGTCACCTCAAGGACCCACCTTCAGTGGTCAGGCTGCCAACGAAGAGCGAGGACGTTGGGGTGGTGTCATCCTCAGCCTGAGGTGACACCGAGCCCTGAGGTGACACCGAGCTCTGAGGTGACACCGAGTTCTGAGGTGACACCGAACTGCCCGGGAGGGTTGAGCTGTCCGGCGGGGCCGAGTAGCGGCCGCCCTCCGCTAAATCCTCACAGGTCTTTTCATCCGACTGCAAAGAAAACAGGGAAAATTGATTTTTTCCTAAAATCCTTGCAGGTCTTTTCATCCGACTGCAAAGAAAACAGGGAAAGTGTTTTTTTTCCTAAAATCCTTGCAGGTCTTTTCATCCGACTGCAAAGAAAACAGGGAAAAGTGGGGTTTTTATCCTCATTTCCCCCCATAGGGAATTCCAGGAATTTCCCTCCAGCGGGAATTCCTGCGCTGCTTTCCAGGAGGAGAAGGGGAGGAAAATTTGGGAAGAGCTTCAGCAGAACACAGAGCTGGAATGAAGGGATATCCCGAGGGATGTCTGAAGGAGTATCCCAAGGGAATAAAGGAATATGTAAAGGGAGAAAGGGAATATCCCAAGGGAAATCCAAAGGAAATAAAGGAATATCTAAAGGGAGTAAAGGGGTATCAAAAAGGAACAAAGGGATATCCCAAAGAATTTCTAAAGGGGTATCCCAAGGGAATAAAGGGATATCTAAAGGGAATATCTAAAGGGAATATCTAAAGGGAATATAGAGTTATCTAAAG